CACTAAGAAGAACCTAAACCAGTCTACGTCAATACACTTTTAAGTCTAGAAGTGGGGACCAAATACTTCAAACTACTTCAAGAGTGTAAGGACATTTTTGCTTAGACATATAAGGAAATGCTTGGATTAGACCCTAAGGTTATTTTCCACCACCTCTCTGTTAGGAATAGGGTATGACCAATTAAGCAAGCAGAACATTGATTCCAGCCCGAGTTAATTCCACAAATTGAAGTAGAAGTCAACAAGCTTATTGAAGCTAACTTCAACTGAGAGGCGAAGTATCCAACTTGTATTGCTAGCATTGTCCTTGTGAAGAAGAAAAATGGTCAAATTCGGGTATGTGGTGACTTTTGAGACCTAAATCAAGCATGCCCAAAGGATGTATTTCCCTTTCTATCACTTAGCTCATGGTAGATGCGTCTATAGGACATGGAGCATTATTTTTCATGGATGTTTTATCTGGATACTATCAAATCCGCATTACACCTAAGGATGAAGAATTTAAAGCCTTGCAAACTCAAAGTGGGATTTACTACTATAAAGTAATGCCTTTTGGGCTTAAGGAAGCTAGTGCTAAGTACCAATGCTCGATGCAACGAATATTTGATAAAATGATTCACAAGAAGGTCGGGTGCTATGTTGGTGATTTGGTTATCAAGTCTAAGAAAATCTAATACCACCTCGATGACTTGTGTATCATCTTCAACAAGCTAAGAAGATTTTAATTACATATGAACCCTCTCAAGTGTGCATTTGGAGTCACCTCGAGTAAATTCCTTGGGTTCATTGTTTTCCATTAAGTAATTGAAATTGAACTATCAAAAATCGCTATCATTCAAAACAATGTCAATCATTCAACAAGATGATAAAAAGGATGCCCCATTTGAGTGGGATGGAACCTACAAAAATGCCTTAGAGAGCATAAAGCAATACCTCTTTAAACCACTAGTACTTGTCTTACCAATTCCTGAGGAGCCGCTCATCCTATACATTACAGTAGAAGAGCAGTCACTATGAGCTTTATTGGAACAAGTCAATGAGGAAGGAAAAGAGAATGCACTCTACTACATTAGTCGAACACTAATAGGACCCAAGTTGAAATATTCACCCATAGAGAAAACTTGTCTTGCTCTCATCTTTGCCATTAAGAAGCTATGACACTACATGTTGGCACATATTGTCCACCTTCAAGAGCATACCCTCTCAAGTACATCATGATACACCATGTACTATCAAGAAAACTAGCTATTTGGATTCTCCTCCTATCTGAATTTGACATCACCAATGAACCACATAAGACTAGGAAAGGATAGGCACTAGGAAACTTCCTTGTAGATCACCCTGTTCCGGTAGATTGGTAATTCTTTGGAGAGCTTCTTAATACAAAAGTATTTTATAGATCCAAGTTTACTAAGTCCAATTTGACCCATGTCCTATTGTAAAAGGGTGGTCACATTGCCAAAACCACTAACTCTTATATAATGGAGCATGTGTGGAAGTAAACCCTAACCTAACACCCCACTTCCATGGTATTGGTTAACAAAGTGGCTTGAGGTGAGAGCCCTAATCCCATGCTACAAATACTCTTGCCTAGAAAGAAATAGTTTTTTTTCTTCACAATCGCATTGAAAGAATCTCTCACACACCAACACTTGAGGATTGCAAATTTCTTAGTTTCCCTACAACACACTTGGATTCAATCTCTCTCAAGAAGATCATGCCAATACAAAAGGGCCTTTCGTAGAGAAGCATCCTTCACATCCTATCAAGTACGAAACTCAAAGTGAAAAGAAATTACATCAAGTCTTCAAAAGCACTAAAATCAAGGAAATTTGCATCGACACTTCAAGAAGTACAAGAAATATGTCAGCGGCTTTCGTGTTTATTGAATTCGACTGTTGATTAAAGGTTGCTCACGTCACCGAGCGGAAATCAAAGAGTTTTTAACTCCCTCGCATTGTTTTTATTATACATTATTTTTTTTTTGTAATTTGTCTCCATACTTTGTATTAATCAAATACACAAAATTTGTGTCGACAATAGCTATTGCCAATAGTATTGTAATGAAATTTAGCATGACCATGGGCAAAATGGTCTCCTCATAATCGATTCCTTCTCTTTTAATGTGACATTTTGCCACTACTTGATTTTTGTATGTCTCATCCTTTCCATCAGGGCCTTTTTTTCCTTTTGTAGATTCACTTGAAATGAATTGCTTTTAACTTGGGGTAAGGTCTATAAGAGTCCATACTTTGATGGTTTTCATTGAGCCCATTTGGAATTTATGGCATCTTTCCACTTTAGGGAGTCTATATTTAATATAGTTTTCATATAAGTTCGGGGTTTTTTTCGCTGTCCATGGTTTCCGTCAAATAACTTTCTTGATAATAACCAAAATGAATAGGAGGTCTAAACACGTAGGTAGATCTTTTAAACTAGGTGTTGGTATTTGGAACTTGTGGGATGTCTCTCACTATTCCTAAATTCTCTTTATCAAGAACATTCATGTCATAAAAGAGGTATTTCATAGAGTCCTTTGGGTAGCCTATAAATAGGCAATGACTAGTTTTGGATTTCAATTTGTTTGCATTTATCTTTTTGACATGTGTTCAAAAACCTCATACCTTAATGTGTTTAACACTTGATTTCTTGATAGTCCAAAGCTCAAAAGTACTCTTGGGAACTTAGTTAGAACATGATTTATAATATAAATCACAATCTCTAAGTTGTGTCCCTAGAAGGATATGGGTAACTCTAAGTGGACAAAAAGTGATTCGACCATATTTAATAAAATTAGATTGCTTCTTTTTGAGACACCAATTAATTATGGTGTAGTAGGAGGAGTCAATTGTGATATAATTCCATTATCCTTAAGTAGTCTCTGAATTAATTAGAGAAATATTTGCCGCCTCAATCTGATCGAAGTATTTTAATTTGTCTCTTAAACTATTTCTTGACTTTATGTTTGTATTCTAAACTTTTGAAATGATACAGACTTATATCTCATTAGATATATGTATCCATACCGTGATAGTCATCGGTAAATATTATGAACTATAAATGTGAATTATGGGCCCTAACATTTAGGGGACCACATACATCTCTATTGGTTACTACTTTTATAATGTTAGTTAATTTGTTATAAGTTTTATCTAATATCGTGTCTTTTTAGTATTATAGTCAAATCCATGTGATTGGGAAATCTATGATACCAAAAAGACATGATACTAGAAAGGCTTTCACTAATTGCAACCTCTCATGGATTTTGATAAAAACACACCTGATTGGTTAATATTTGGCAATTGATTGGTAGTAAGTTTTTTCTCGTACATCATATCTTTCTCACATCAGGTGATAATTTACTTCTCTTAATACCCTATTTACTTCTCACTTAATACCAATGGCATGTGGACGTCTGATAATTAAAATGTCAATTCTTAGATTGCCAAAATTCAAAATTTTTATTAATTAATTTCACCTGGGCTACAAGATTTTCCAATTGGAATTATTCTATCTGGCACCACAGTTTGAAGTCAAAATTAACTTTACAATAAAATAAACCGTTTTTGTCATAGTTTTTAAAACTGGACCAGATCGGATGGTCGGACCGGAAAAACTGGGTGACTAGTTCCGATTTTCCCTAAAACTAGATTTTTTCCAAAAATCATTGATTTTGGTCAGTAAACTGCTGACTTAGGCAATTAACCGTTTAAACGGTTTTGACCGTTTTTAATTTTTTTATTCTTTTGTCAGAACGGACCAACCGTTTGATTTGAATGGTTGGACCGTTCAACTCGATAGCCAAACCCCTGACCGGTTCAGTCTCTGAGTCAATTTTAAAAACCATGGTTTTGCCACCGGTTTCCAAGTGAAACAGCCAACTGTCTGCTCCAAACCCGGGTCGAATGGTTTACTGTACTAAATTTAGAATGGCTGATGTAGCAAAAGGATATACCATCAGTGTCGTGAGTGTGAATTCACTTCTAATCTAACAAACTTATAAAAAAGTAGTGGTTACGGTCCAAGAATGTATACAATATTTGCTACTGTCAAGTGGAGGGTTGCAACATTTATTGTGTTGCAACCCTTAATTTGCCAGGGAATGACACGGTCAAGTGGAGGGTTGCAACATTTATTGTGTAAAAAAAAAAAAAAAAACTCTATTTTTAGAAGTGAGCGATGGGGTTGGTTTGATGAAATAATAAATGAAAATTAATGGCTTTCATCATCACCATCGTTATCATCTAAGTCATATCCTAACTATTTGGATTGGTTATATGAATCTTCTTTCACCGTTTGGCCGATTTCAATATTTTGTGTTATATTCATCGAAATTATGAATTCTTAAATCATACCCCATCAGCCAATTTTTTTTATCTAGTCCACGCCCTCGTGGTCTCTTTTAATTAATATGAAAATTGAAAAATTCTTCGCTCTTTGTATCAAACCAAATACAGCTTAAGGGGTTTGTTTATTTTCAATTTTGAGGAAAATGTTACCCTCAACTGTATTATGATATTTTCAAAATATCAAAATTACCCTTTATAAGTCAAGGCCAAATCATCTCCCATGATATACACTAAGTTCAAATTTACATTTATTTGTTTGTGACTATGATTTACGTTCCTACAGTTCAGTTTGGACGGAGTATGAAACTACAAACACAAATATGTGGGTTTTATATTATTTTGTATGTATTTACACTGCATATATTTATATTCCTGCTCTTTCCAAAATGAACCTACTTAATATAAAATTTGTGCTAATTGTCTCTTTTGCGGGAGTAAACTGATGCAAAATTTACACCACCTTCTTCCTACTTCAATTCTCTCATAAAGTTTGATCAAATTATCTTTATATAAGTTGAGGTTACTTTAATTCATTTTACTATGTTAAATTACTCTCCACTTACAATTAAGATGAAGTCAATCTAAGTCAATCTAAAGCAAAATGGTCTCTCATATAGTAGTAGCATGGTATTTATTATATATAGTAGTAGCATGATATTCATCAACAACAAAGTGCAGTATTATCAGATTGGCATCTTTCCAGGACTACCTTCAGAGTTTAGAACCCCAATTTTCATTTCATCCAAGTATGCCATGGCCCATGTTGCTTCGTCTCATCTTACCATGGCTTCTGTCCATAACAAAGGCAACAGAAGTGTCGACCTATCTCAGACGAAGCCTGGCTGCCAGGACAACTGCGGGAACATCAGCATCCCATACCCGTTTGGTATAGGAGATGATCCAAACTGTTTCATGGATTACGATTTCAAGTTGATCTGCAACACCTCTAGTGACAATCCTGTGCTGCAGACCCAAGACGGCCAGCCCGTCTTGAACATATCGTTGCAGGGCCAACTGACGACCTCCATTCACGTCGCCGTACAGTGTCAGGTGGGGGACAGCAAGCTGTGGAATAGTTCCAACACTAAACTTCAACTTCAGAAAGCGTACAGGGTCTCCAACATCAGAAATATATTCATGTCTGTCGGTTGCGAGATGAATGGAAATTTGTACGACTACATGGGCAGGGTGCGCTATATTAGTTGCGATTCGTTATGCTTGGAGGATACTCAAATAACAGGATTACCTTGTGCAGGCCTTGGATGCTGCCAGAGCTCGATACCCAAGGACCTCAGTTCTTTCTGGGTATACATTGGAAATTATTACAGCTTTACGTACAATGGGAATGCCAGCAAATGCGCACACTCCGTTCTGTCAGAGCAGGAATGGCTCAGCTCGCATGTATTCGACCTCTGGACTCTGAGAAACAACTTGGATTACCTTCAGAAAAATAGGTTGAAAAATCTATTAATACTTGACTGGGCAATTCGAAACAAGACCAGTTGCGTGGAAGCGCAAAGAGTAGCGGCTGATTATGCATGTGGAAGCAATACCCACTGCACGAACTCAACAAACGGACCTGGATATCTTTGCCATTGTATGCAAGGTTACGATGGGAATCCTTATCTTCCCAGTGGATGCCAAGGTATGAATTCATTATAACACTCCACATCACTCATAAAATACATGAGGCTCACACTCATTCAACCTCTCAGTGTGAGATCCATGTGTTTTATCAGTGGCGTGGGGTATTATTATTGGCCCAGCAGCCTACTACCATCGGTTTACAATTGCATCACATTAGGAGTGGCCACGAGTTGAGTTTTTCATAAGTTATTTGAACTGGGCTTGTGAAAAGTTCGGATATATAGGCTCGTTTTCTAATCAAGTCGAGCTCAAGCTCAGTAAAGATTGGCTCGTGAAACTATTATAATAAATAAATACTTTTTTATTAAATATATACATATATACATATATATATACATATACATATATATAATAAAATAGTAAATAATTTTTATAATTCTTATTTTTTGTATGTAAAATAAATACAATTTTATATGTATATTTTTTTTTGTTTTTATGTGTATAATAATAAATAATTTTTATAATTCTTAATTTTTTTGTATTTAAAATAAAAATACTTTTATATGTATATTTTTTTATTTTTTAGAAAAAAACTTCGCTTACAATCGTGCTCGAGTGAGCCTAACTTGAACTTGCAAACTTTGAACCAAGTCAAGTTCAATCTCAAGGTTCTAACTCGAATCGAACTCAAACTCGAGCCTAACACAGTTTCAACGAGCCAAAATCAAATAGCCAAATATTTAGCTAAGCTCGGCTTGAATTCACCCCTAAATTCGCATATGTATCTAATCCAACATAATCTGATTTCATTGGATTCAAATATAAATGCTAATGTGTACTTAAAATTTATATTGTGTTTATTCATAATGTTTGTTTGAATGTTGTGTTTTTATATTCAAGTTTTATAAAAGTAAATTTTAAATAATTTTGTTCATAAATTACAATATGAAAGACTATACAATATTTTTATCATTTTAATTTAATTTTATTTATATGATTCAAATTTGATTTGAATCCCCGATGGACGAGATCCAATTCAATTTCAATATATAAACCAATCAAATTTGAATATGTATACTTTTAGTAGAGAAAGAAGATGCAAGTCGGTATCCGATTTGAGGACTGCATCAGTCACGAGCTTTTGGGCTGACCCATTGAACTTTTAACAATTTCCCAACCCAAGTTAGCCCAAGTTGCAATGGATCAAATTAAATGGTTTAAGTTCGACTTGACTCACGCCTACAAAGTCAGGTTTATTAGGGTGTAGGGTCAGGTTAGAGTTTTGATTATTTTGTACAAATTGTGTGAAGGTTTGGCTGACCTGGCCCATTGGGTCATAAGTCATAGCACCCCTAGGCATATAAGAGGTGTTTTCGTAATTTGGTCTGACTTCTATCCCCTAATCTTCACGTTTATGATTTCTTCCAATACTTGCTTAACCCAAATTGGGTGTAAGATTAGGTCAGAATTTTGATTATTTAACCCTCATCAGCTTTAAGTTTGGCTAACCCTTACCCATCAGGTCATAATACCCCTACACATATAGAGGGCATTCTTGTAATTTGTTAGAGTATTGATTATTTAACGCAAATCGTGTGAAGGTTTGGCTGACCTGGCCCATTGGGTCCTAACACCCCTAGGCATATAAATGGTGTTTTTATAATTTGGTCTGACTTCTAACCCCTAAACTTAAAGTTCACGATTTGTTCCAATACTTGCTTAACCCAAATTGGGTGTAGGATTAGGTCAGAATTTTGATTATTTAATCCTCATCTGCTTTAAGTTGGGCTAACCCCTACCCATGGGTACATAATACCCATACACATATAAAGGATATTCTTATAATTTGATCTAACTTCTAATCCCTAATCTTAAAGTATATGATTTATTTCACTATTTGTTTTTTGTTTTTTTTTTCTTTCGCTTTGGAATCCATAAACCAATTTCTAACTTAAACTAACAGCTTTTGAGCTTTCAAAAAGCATTAAGTTGAAAAAGTATGGAACAAGTTGGGTTGGTATTAAGTTGAATCCTATAGGTTGGGGCAAGTTCAGAAACTGCATAGTATTGAGTCGGGTTGGTTGGGTTAGGCTAGGTTACATACAGATTTGATCCCACTTCATTGATAAAAATTCAAATTTCATAATATATAATATAATAATATGCATATATATATATATATATAATATTAGTTATATGTATAAGTAAACAATAATTAATTCGTTATTTTATTAAATGAAGGAAAGCTGGATTATATCTGAATCTGATTTGACCTTCCTATTTTACACTTTGATCCCTTTGATCCCACTCTTACAATTCTACTAGTTTAATTGAGAAAAGAGTCACATGCGACTGTTCTGTGCATGTTTAAAAATTTGAAAACCCACAGTACTAATGTAAATTTCATGAGAACATTTTGTAGAAAAATGATAAAATACAACCAAAACATAAAATATAAAGAAAAGTAGGAAATACAACAAAAATGAAGAAAAGGAGGAAACAAAAACTAAATGCAAAAAAAGCAGAAAATATAGCAAAGAAGAGACGAAAGTATGAAAGAATGAGAAATACAGAAAACAATGAAAATTGCAAAAAAAAAGTACTAGTTGGGACCTGTGCAATGCATGGGCATTGTTAATAAAAAAAAAAAAAAAAAAAAACCTATGACATTTTCAATTATGCCAAGCAAATCCAAATACGACTCAAGCATTATTTTTTAGTTATGTTAACAACCTAATTAAGTTGCACATTAATGAGAGTGGCCGAGTTTGTTATAATTTTTTATTAATTTTACTATTTTTTATTATTTCCAATTTGGTTTTAAAAGTAATTATTCTTTATGAATTTTATTAATTTGTATTATTTTTAAATAGAAATTAAATGGATATTAAATTAGTAAAAGATATTAACATAAATTTGTAATTACTTTTAAGTGAGAAACTTAAAAGGATTTTAAGTTAATATTTCGACCCTAGTGGCTGAACCGTTGACCCATTCAGCCAAATCACTAGGCCATGGGTTGCACGCTAAATGTATATGCAAACTTCTAGGTGCCATAACTTTGCATTCAGTTGTCTAATTAGGGTGAACTTTATATCGATTTGGGATAATCTTTCAAGACTTATGTGTCCCAAGGGCCAGATGTGCCTTGTATTGCTATTTATTCCAAAAAACCCTTTTTGGCATCAAATCCAAAATTTTTACATTTTTTAAAAAGAAAATTTAAAATATGAAATAAAAAATATAATTTAAAAATTAGTTAATACATATAGCGTATAATTTATGTGAAATATAATATACATTATTTTATTGATATAATATATGTTCACACATACATACATATGTACATGCTGATGTGTTATGGTCTGATCCGTTTGTTTTATTAGTAAAATCAATATTATTAAATGTTACTATTTTTTACTATTTTCAATTTTTAAATAGATATAAATTATAGTATTTATTAGTCATAATAGTTAATAATGATTAATTTATAGGATTAGTAATTATTAAATAATTACTAAAATAATTATTTGTAAATTTTAAATTGGATTATGATAAAGTTTAATTATTTAGCAACACTGAAGTTGGGTTCTCCTTTCCTGCAACTATGCCATAATGGCAAAACTGAAGTAGTGTTCTAAGCCTTCACACACACTTAATGACGGTTTTGACAAATGCTCGCTCAATAAAACGAATCAGTGTTTTAAAAATCGACCTGGAGGTTAAACCATTTTTGCTTCTAAGTCACAGGTCACCGGTTCCATTGTATAGGTCATATTGTGCCATGTCCTCAATATGTAAATTCATATATATATATATATATATATATATATAGGTGTGTATATAAATATGTATTTTATGAATAAATAATATATAATTATGTTATTGTATTATTCTTATATTTAATTTATATTTTGGTTTAGTTTATAAATTAAAATGTTACTAATGGAATTTTGTTTTGGACATGCACCTATCAGTACTCGACTGGTCTACTGTAAACAAGACCTGTGAGAAAGGATCTACCAATTATGCATGTGGGGAGAACACCTACTGCTCTTACTCCAAAGACAGCCCTGGATTTCTTTGCCATTGCATTGAAGGTCACCATGGGGATCCTTATCTCCCTGAGGGATGCCAAGGTGTGAATTAATTTAAATTTTCAATAATGTCTTGTATTAAGAAGGATGTGAGATACAACAACACCAGTTGACCATTTGTGTTGATGGCAGCAGCAGAATCCACATCCTTRGAGACAAAGCCTGGATGCCAAAACAAATGCGGGAATGTTAGCATCCCATACCCATTCGGTCTCGATGGAGATGATCCAACCTGTTTCAGAGATGAATTTAAGTTGTTCTGCAACACTGCCACTGATCCTCCTCGACTGTTAATGGATGGATTTCTCGTTATGGACATATCACTACAAGGTCAACTGATTATACTCTCCCCCTGGGCTTCCATCTACTGTTACACTGGAGACAACCAAAGCTATCTCTACAATACATTTATCCAGCTACCAAATGTATACAGATTCTCCTACACCCGAAACCAGTTCACGGCTGTTGGTTGTAACACACTTGGATTGTTTTCCGATTATAATTCTAGTAAGTTCTCTTTGGAGTGCCTTTCATCTTGTCCTTATGATGCCGTATTGACTGGGCGACCTCGTCACGGCATTGGATTCTGCCAGATCGCAATACCGAAGGATCTTCCTGCATTTACTCTGAGAGTTGGGGAGTCTGCCAAAACAACCAACAAATCGAACTCTTGGAAGATCAGCAGATGTGGCTTAGCCTTCCTATCTGACCAAATGTGGTTCACTTCAAATGCATCTTCCCGGTGGAATTCAAGAAATGATGCGGATGGCATTGTAAACACTGGCATCAAAACTTCAGTAGTACTTGATTGGGCAATTCGGGAGAAGAATTGCAAGGAAGCACAAAGAGCGAATGATTATGCTTGCGGGAAGAACACCAACTGCACAGACTCCACAAATGACCCTGGATATAATTGCCATTGTTTGAATGGCTACCACGGAATTCCATATCTCCCCATGGATGCCAAGGTATGAGTTCACGGATATATGGGATATTAATTGCTGGGAGCATGGTTCAAGCTACGTATTTAATGCTTCTTTCTATCTTTGTTTTGCTCGGGCAGATATAAATGAGTGTGAAGATCCAAAGAATAATCCTTGTGTAAGCAGTTGTACTAATACAATTGGTTCTTACAACTGCTCTTGTCCAAAGAATAGCTATGGTGATGGTAGAAAAGATGGTCAAGGATGCATTGCCAAGAGTAAAGCCTTTTCTGTGATTAAGGTCATTCTAGGTGTTAGGATTACAATTAGGATTGAAAGTCTCTGTTGTAATTGTAATTAATCCTTGTATACGTAGGAGACTCGAATGTATATATTTGGGTATTGTTAGTGAATAAGATACGAAAGTAGAACCCAGAGAAGCTCTGGTTTTTCATGGTATCAGAGCCGGAAATGGGAGCGAGAGGTCTGTGTTCTAAGACCTCTGGAGATCAGTAGCGGCAAAGACGTTGCTCGGCACCGGCAAAGGACAGACTTTGCACTCTAGATCCAGTTCGGCACTCCATCTTCCGCAGAGTTCCAATTCACCTTCATCCTCCCAAGGCTGCAACCGGCGGTTCCGTTCTGAGTTCCGTTTTTCGTAGATCGGACAAGAACTCTGCAGAATTCTTCGGTTTTCTTCTTCTTCTACAGAGGATCCGTTCTGAGTTCCGTTCGGCTGAAACTGTTGATCACCTTCTATTTTTGGACATCCAGCAGAGGCGGCGGCAACCATCCCACCTACCCTCCATTTTTACCCCTTCGAGATTCCTGATTGCAAGCGCCGAACACCATGTCATTTTGAAGCAAGAAGATAAGAAACGACACCCCTGTTCCGGCGATCGAATTCAGGGCAAAATCTAACCGGATCAAACCAGCGTTTGCTCATCTTCCTTGTTGAGATGGCGGCTGCGATAAGAGGTTCCAAAATCGAGTGACAGCGGTGACCTCCGGGTGGTAACCATTGGCACGGCGATCGAACCCAACCCAGAAGAGCGGCGGTGAACGTCTTCCTGTTCCGGGTGGTAAGCATTGGCACGGCAGTTCCCGTACTACCTCTCTCTACTCATCTACTTCCTAGCCCACACACGGCAGCCTCTTCCTCCCCTGCCTCTCTCTGCTCTCACAGATTCGGCAGGCGGAAGAGGCTTCGAAGGGAACTTGATGATGTGCAATCCGGCCGGTCTTAGCTGTCAACAATCTTGCCTCTGAACTGAGTAGCAAGGGACCTGAAACGGAGGAGATGAAGAAGCTCCGGGGAGAACCCGGTGTAACGGCTCCGAAGCTCAAGTTAGAATCCTTCAAAGGCAAGATAAGCCAGATAGCGCAGAGTTAGCATACCTCATTCTTGGGGGGTAGGGAGCCTTTTATAACCACCTCGYGCACTCACTCCCAGGCTTCTGTCAGATCGGGCATGATTATCTCTGGGCTCCTGCCAGTTCGGATATCATCTCCTCTGGCCGGGCAGAACCGTCACTGCTCCTTTTGTCGGAGCCGTCTCTGCGGCTGATGGCGACGGAGGCAGGTGGCGGTGGCAGGAGACCGTTTGAAGTGCGGCTGTCAAGCGTCAGATCCCAAATCAGTCAGGTACGCCGCCCTTGGATACGGACATCCTCGGTGTCAGGTACGTTTGGTCAGTCTGGTGTTTTAGAGGTGAAGTGCTGGAGTGGCGAGCGAGACGGAGTCTTGAGTTCAGTTTGGGGAGTGCTCCGAGCTGCCATGGGCCAGCTCGGGTCACGGCCTTGTGAGGCCTAGGGCCTGAGAGAGTTCGGGCTCCTTGCAGGGAGGTCGGGTTCTTAGTAGGGAGCTCGGTCTTCTAAGAAGGAGCTCGGGTCCTTAGGAAGGAGCTTGGGTTATTAGTAGGGAGCTCGGTCTTCTAGGAAGGAGCTCGGGTCCTTAGGAAGGAGCTCGGGTTCTTAGTAAGGAGCTCGGGCTCCTGGACTATTGGTTACTTTCGGTGCTCGTGTTTTGGGCGCTCTGCTGCCCCGAGCTGCTTGCTTTTGCCATGTGTCGGGTGATTGCAAGGTCGGGCCAAATTTCCCTTCATCAATTGCCCCCCACTCCCTGCGCTAAGGGTCCTGTCTTGGCGCGGGGAGTTCGTAAGGTAGCAGGAGGATTTTGGCCCGTTCTTTGAATTTTATTCAACTGATGGCGCACGCTTTAATTTGATTTTCAAAAAGGTGCGCGTTTGGGAGACGTGACGGAAGCCATTTTCTCAGATTTCGGGAGTCGTGCTGCAGGCGCTTTTACTGCGAGGAGATGTGCGCTGACACCCTGTTAGTTTCGAAAAGACGCGTGCCGACGCCCTGTCAATTTCGACAAGACACGCGCGACGCCTCGTCAGTTTCGAAAGACGTGCGCCGGCGCCGTCCGTTTCAAAAAGACGTGCGTTGGTCACGTCTTGGCTTCGGAGGACGTGCGGTCAGCGCGACTGTGGGCCGTTGGATTGGCTTCGATCTGGACCGTCGCTTTCCGGTTGCTGTGGATATAAATAGCGGGGGGGACCCCAGTCGCTGCTACTGTACCTCTCGAGCTCGCGTCTAAGTTTTAGTTCGCGTCCAGGTTCTTCAGCTCATGTCCCAGGTTCCTTCTGCTTGTTCGGGCTTTCGTGGTCTACTCCAGTCTTCTTCCCG